CAGCTGTCAGGGTTTACTCCTCTTTGCTTAAGTTCAGGCTGGGCTCTGATTTTGACAACCAAATGAGGTTTTTAATAATGCTCAGAGTCAACTTATTTAATCATAATGTAGTTGAGTATCTGACCTCTGAAAATAAATACCAACAACTACAAGGAGAAAAAAAAAAAAAGAGAGAGACTTGGAAATGGCAATGCCCACTGGATTAGACAAAGGGGAATGAAGGGAAGGAGGGGATGGGAATAGGAAAGACAGTGGAATGAATCACACATAACTTTCCTATGTCCATATATGAATACATGACCAGTGTCACACCACATCAAGTACAACCCCCCAAGAATGGGAAGTTATACTCCATGTCCATTTGCTACGTTAAAATACATTCTACTGTCATGTGTAACTAAAAAGGAACAAATAAAAATGTTTTAAAAAGAGAAAATGGCAATGCTCTGACACAGTAAGTAATCAACAGACATGAACATCTGCAAAGACTGAAATTTGTCCTTGAATTCACTTGGAAAAAAGCCACAAGAGGGCAGAATGGATACTGAGGCCAGACCTTGATGTTTTGTCCCCAGTATCTTTTGCCGGTAGGGGATTGAGGATAAACAAAAATGTTCCTGGTATTTTTAAAATTTGAGGCTTCAGCTTAGGTGAATTTATTTTCACTTTCAAAAACAAATGACTATCCCAAGACTGGGAAGTCTACATTGTAGATAAGCAGCTTGGCCTGGTTGGAGATGAAGGATGTAGGTTTTAAGGCTAAGAGCAGGAGAAATGCCTTGTGAAGGCATTCTAAGAAATTCATCTTCGAACCTCTCAGATACTACTACTCAAAGTTTGGTCCATAGGTAAGCAGCATCGTCATCTCCCATTCAAGATGCATTCAGGGGCCCCAAACTTATTGAATCATAAATGCACTTGAACAAGACGCCCAGATTATTTTGAATTCACACTAAACTCAGAGAAGCACTGGCCTAGGCAACATGAAGTCATTAAAATTTCATCGGCAAAGTGTCACAATCAGATTTGTGTTTTAGAAAGCCAATTATGGAGGATAGAGTTGGGGGGCTAGCATGGAGACAAGAGACCACTTACAAGAATGTGACAATACATTAGGCGTGAAATTATGTGTCCTTAAACATCAAGATGAGATGGTGGGGGGTACTGGGGACTACACCCAGGGTGCTTAACCATCAAGTCACATCCCCGGCTCTTTTTAAATTTTTTATCTACAGACAAAGACTCACTGAGTTGCTTAGGGTCTCACTAAGTTGCTGAGGCTGGCTTTAAATCTGCAATCCTCTTGCCTCAGCCTCCTAAGCTGCTGGGATTACAGATGTGCACCACTGAGCCTGGCAAGATGAGATATTTAAAAAGAAAGAGAAGAAACATCTAGAATTCTGGTGTATTTGTAAAATAAAATCAGTAGGACTTGGTAAATAATTAGATACGGGGCTTAGAGAGGAGGCGTGGTATAAAGTGAGGTAGGGGTCCAGGGTGTCTCGCTGGTAAGCTCATGTACCAATGACAAGGCAACTTCCTTTAAGATCAATAATCAGAAAGAAAAAGAAGTATACAAAGGAATAAGTATCATTTTAGCTTGGGTCATGTTGACATGTCAAACGTGTCTAGGAAGTAGGTGGGGGCAGAGGTTGAAAACCACACAGCATCACTGTGGGAATTAGATAAGGCTTTGCAACAGAGACCTGACAAGTCATAAAACACTACAGATACATAAAAAAGCCTTGTTAATAACTTGCAGGCTTGTTCTCTGTGTTAATTTTGCATTATTGTATGTACAATAATAATAATATTGGGGGTAGATTGTTACATAAAAATACATCATTGACATGGATTCATCTGTTGCTTTTCATGTATGTGACTCATATTTGTGCTCATGTAATATTCCCATGAAAAACAGGACTAGAGCGTGAGGATGAAAATGACTGTCATTGTGTCCCCAAATGTACCTCTTCGCCTTCATCATATGGTCTGACTTTCCAAAGGTTTCTGGTGCCCCCCTCATCCCTTTCACTGCTACCCACCAGCAGGTGAGGCACGGGTGTTGGAAAGAGAGGGTCTGTGGCTTGCCCAGCTCTCTTGCACACATCTCTTTGAACATAGTGTTGTAGTCAGCTCTTTCACTGCTGTGACTAAAAGATCTGACAAACACAATTCAAGAGGAGGAAAAGTTTATGTGAGGGCTCACAGTTTCAGAGGTCTCAGTCCATGGGCAGCTGGCTCCATTCTTAAGGGCTGGAGGTGAGGCAGGACATCATGGTGGATGAGTATGGCATAGGGAAACAGCTCATATGATGATCAAACAGCAGAGAGAGACTCCATTCCCAGATACAAAATATATCCCCAAAGACATGCCCCATAATGACCCACCTCCTCCAGCCACACCATACCCACCTACAGTCACTACTCGGTTAATAAAACCAGGGAGTGGATTCACTCATTGGGTTAAGACTTTCATAACCCAATCATCTCTCCTCTAATCCTTCTTGCATTGTCTCACACATGAGCTTTTGGGGGACACCTAATATCTAAACCATAACACATAGCCTTTCCTGTGACTTATCCATCACCAAAGACAATCTCTTAAAATTGGGTCCAGATGATTAGGGAAGGAATCTCCAGAGTATCCAACTCCATACCCTTCTTTTATGGATGAAACAAACAAAAAAACAAACAGGTCCCAAATGGCCAGGAAGCATACTAAAATTGTTTTTTTCCCACTACCTGACATTTTCTTTCCAGATGGGCCTACTTGACCTAAAACAATTTTGTCTTCAAAGACAAAGATTTGCACAAAGAAGTGGGAGGAGGTGCAACGTTGATTTCACACTCCCTGGGAGATGACGGGAGAGAAGTTGAACAGATTTCACTTGATGAACCTCCATTTCATAAAATGTGTAGGAGGGCAGGTCATCTGGAGAGAGTTTACTTAGAAGGGAGAAAAGTAGTAATTTGCAGAATGTGGGAGAAATTAGACAGAGAAAAAAAATGGACCGGAAGTCAACAAGAAATGAATAAAAATGTCTCCATGCAGCAATGAAGGATTTGTGCATCACAGTCAGTAGGTGTGCAGGCAGAATGTGTTATAAAAAGAAACACGTAGGAACCTCACTGTCCTGTGCGCCTTCCTTCAGAATACCATGGATGCTCACAATGGCCGGCACCATTTCATTCAGTTGTAAACTAGAAAAATATATATGATATACCTGTGACCCAGGTGCTCAATATTATAATCAGGCCACATTTCTCTGGCTAGAAAATATTTTCAAAATAGAGGGTACATTAGTTTTGTAGGGCTGCTATAACTAAGTACCAGAAATTGGGCTGCTAAAACATCAGAAATTGATTATCCGACAATTCTGGAGGATTGAAATCTGAAATCAAGGTATGGGGAGGATCATGTGCCCTCTAAAACTTGCAAAGGAGAGTCCTTGCCTCTTCCTAACTGCTGGTGGTTTGCAGGCATTCCTTGTCTTATAGCTGTAGCACTTCAATCTCTGCCTCTATCTTCACAAACGTTCTCCTCTCATGTGTCTGCCTCTTCTCCTCCTCTTCTAAGGACAATAGTCATATCGGATTCATGGCCCATCCTACCACAGAAGTACCTCATCTTAACTAATTACAACTTCAACAACCCAATTTTCAAATAAAGTCACATTTGGAGGTACTAGAGGCAAGGGCTTGACCATATCCTTTGGGTGACACCAATTAACCTTATATAAGATATTTCTTCTCTATATATCCATTGTATTTGAATAAAAGACTTTATTTGACTAAGACTCTGGAGCCAGACAAGAAGGCATAGACTCATTTCTCCATGTTCCTTCATGTCTAGTAAAAACCTGGAAATAGCACAAGAGGCAAAGAACTCTAAAAGGTGGCAGGAAGAAAGTAAACGGGTTTGAGACCTCAGACGTGGAAGAAAAACACAGCGACAGTGGGTCTCACATCCCCCGCCACACACACAGAGAAGGTGATCCAGAGCCAACATTTTTCTAACCCTAAACAGAACAGAAGGCAGTCTAGGCAAGCTCACTCTTCCTGAAGGTGGAGTAGGTCCTCTGATAGCACCAAGGAAGTCTCTGGCCCCGCTGAGAATTGTTTTTAAGTCCCACTAACAGTGACCCGAAGAAGCAGTCTCTTTTCCTCTGAGCCTGATTCTCCCCATCCCTGCCAAAAGATACTGAGGGTCCTCGCATCACCAACAAAGGCTCTTTGGAGTACAAGCTTGACTGAAACTTCATTGTCTCTGCAGTCCTGAGATCACCCTTCATCACCCAGAGACAGAGGAATGTCACTGGGGAGATCTTGCCACCACAAGTCCCTTGCTGGAGAAAGGCTCTCCATTTCTCCCAAGTAGGAACTAACGCATCACATCAAGAGGTTGGCCAGGGAGCCTCAGGATGCTCAAGATACTTAGGAGCCCTAGATTCCTCTACCTCACCCAGAGATACCTGGTGGCCCAATGTGGAAAAATTCTGCAACCCTGTGCACAGGCACCACCAGGAACAATGGCAGTCCCAATGGCACCAGATAAACCCATGCAGAATAAAATACCACCACAGAGACTTAAAATGTATACTCTTACAGGAACCACAGCCCAGCCATTATGCCAGGATAAACCTAAGCAGAGCAACTGCATGCTAACATGGAAGATAAATATAGGACCCCAAATCTCTTCACAAAATAGACAAAATGTCCAGAGTAAAATAAAAAAATTAATCACTCATCATATCAAGAACCAAGACAATAACAACATGAATAAGAAGCCAGTCCACTGATGAATTAGAATTCTCTGATGAGGATCTTAAGCCAGCTGTCATAAAAAGGCTTTCACAATAAAGTACAAATTCCCTTGAAATGAATGGAAAAATACAAAATCTCAGAAAAGAAAGAGACATTATTTTAAAAGTACCAAGTGGAAGTTATAAAAATGAAAAATACAATAACGAAAATTAAGAAAAGCTCTGGATGGGCTGAATAGTAAGAGAGGAGGTGACAGAAGATAGAATCAGTGACTTTGTAGACAAAAAAATGAAAGTCATACAATATGAGGACTAAAAGAAAATCGGAAAATAAATGAATAGAGCCTCAGGAATCTGTGGGACAAAAAGAAAAGGTCCAACATTTATATCATCAGATTTCTGTGATGTTTCTATCATTCTCCTTGTGATTTTTAGTCATATTTCATGTTTGAAACAAAATTCATAAAACATCTAATATTCAATATGATAATTTTAGAAGTGAAGAAGGTAAAAGGGAAACTAAGTGAGGTTCCATGCTTCTCTCCAAGTAGCAAAATGTTGTCACGAGTAGACGGTAATAAGTCACGAGGGCAGAAGGTAAAACCTAGAGAAACCACAGTGGAAACTATATAGGCACACCCCAAAACACTGCAAATAAACCTAACAGAGCTCTGAGAATGTTCAACCAACCCACAGCAAGGCAGGAAAAGAGAACATGGGAATGAGAACCAGAAGAAACAAAGCAGAAAATAAACACAATGACACATTTAATCAGTAAAAGATCAGTAATTACCCAAAATATAAAAGTGATTCAAATGTACCAGTCAAGAAACAGGGATTGTGAAATACAAAAGGATATGCTTTTTACAAGAAACTCCCTTCAAATTTAACATTGAGAATTGAGAGTACAAAATAAAAAAGATATGCCTGTCCAATATTAATTTCTTAAAAATAAAATAGAGCAGGAATAATTTTATACATGTGTAAAATTGTATAGGACTATGCACACACACACACACATACACACACACACAGGATTACAAGTACAGTTGGGGAAACAAGAAAAAGATAGATAGCCTGTATTAATGTATTAATGTGAATATTTTAGTTGTGATATTGTGCGATAGTTTTACAAAATATTTTCACTGGAGAAACTAGCTAAAGGGTATATGAGATCACCCTATTATTTCTTAAAACCACACATGAATTTACAATTTTCTCAACAAAAATTTCATTAAGAAGCCAGGCACTGTAGCACACGCTTGTAATCCCAGCAACCTGGCGGCTGAGACAGAAGGATCACAAGTTCAAGGGTGGCCTGGGAAATTTAGCAAAGCCCTAAGCAAATAAGTAAGACCCTGTCTCGAAAATATTTTTTAAAGGGCGAGGGAGGTTACTCCGTGGTAAAGTATCCCTAGGTTAAATTTCTAGTATCTCCCCCCAAAAAATTAATCAGAAAAAGGCTTGCCTAAAAAAACTAAATGTATGAAAATCTAAATCTAAAAAACTAAATCTATGAAAAACTAAAAATAAAACGAATCCATAAAACTGAAATGACTATTCTTCCAGATCAAATTTAGAATGAGATTGCAAAAATATTCCACTTTCTCCCCTTACTTCAAATGTCATACAAGTCATGTTTAGTTATTTAACATATATTTACTGTTCATGTGAGCTATAAGAAAGTATTTTAAATTTAAACTTTGGATAATTAATCCCTGAAGAAAATAACAATGACATTTATAAAGTAAAAACATTTTCATATTAAATAAGTGACAACAATATTAAAAAGAACCAAGAAGAGAAAGCAAAGATTGAGTGAGGGTCACTCAGTTAGCTAGGAGCATATCTAACTGGTTTTAGAGGATTTGGGTCAAAATCCTTACTGAGACTTGACACAGAGTGACAGATGTCAAACATACAGATTAACATTGCTGTTTCTGTGCAATGCACTGGAATTCAAGGTCCCCTGTCTTATTCCACACACAAGCCCAACCCCTTATTTTCCCCCAGAATAATTCATGACTGAGCACCCATTTCCCTTCAGATTTAAATTAATGGGAAACTAGTAACAATTTTGCTTATGAATACTGAAATCTGTTCTACGTGGCTAGTTGTTTAATCTGTACAATTACTTTGTGGATTTTTGTCTCTTTAAATTATATTAGCTTATTTGAAGCACCATATTAACATAAAAGTGGAACTAAAAATATCGCAAGAATGGCAACAGAATGGATCCTGAGAAAAACTGTGCACACTGTGAATGAGATGCGATGCACAAGAAATTAATACCCTAGTGGACTGACTAGGACAAAGTGAAGCTCTCCACATGCATGAGTCAGTGTGTCCTAAGCCTGGTGAGGCCTCCTGCTCCCCTCCAGGTGAGTCTGAGCCCTGAAACTGTTCTAGAGTCCAGAGTAAAAGTCCTGGAGGAAAAAAAATCTGCACTTCATTTTTATTCCTCAATTAATAATGCACATGATCTCCTGAAAAAATTGGGAGAACAATGCATTAAATCAGGGTCAGAGAACTTTTTCCAAAAAGATAGAACTTTTCTCTTCAGCCTTTATGGACCACCAAATTTCTCTGGCCACTCTTCACCTCTGTTTTAGAGTGAAAGAAGCCACCAATATAGATGAACTCTAAGTAATAGTATGGCTGTGTGCTAATCAAACTTTACTTACAGATGCTGACAGTTGAACTTCAGATAACATTCTCATGTTATAAAATATTCTTTATTTTTCTTGACTATTTAAAAATGTAAAAGCCATTCCTAGCTCTTAGTTTTAATAAACAACTTGTGGCTGAAGTTGTGGCTCAGTGTTAGAGCGCTTGCCTACCATGTTCAAGTCTCAGCATCACATATAAATAAATAAATAAAATAAAGGTCCATCAACATCTAAAAATAAAATAAACAACTCACAGGGTGAGTCCTGCAGCCTTAGCTTGCTGATCTTTCCATTAAATTATTAATCACATTAATATCCTTTGTGGTTAATGATTATAATTTTTCCTATATTGTTTTAGATATACTGGAATAACTCAGCACCATTAAGTTTTTTTTTTTTTCTTTTTGGAGTTAATGTTTTTTAAATAACTCAAAATCCTATGTAACTTGAAAGTGGAAGGTGAAAAAGATTGAAATTAATCTGTCTACAGAAGCAAGGCATCATAGCAAGGCATTGTCTGAATTTATGGGTGACAAATAAGTGGGGTTTTGTGCCTAAGTTGATCAATCTGGGCATTATCAATGGCAAATTTAAAAAATTGCTGCCCAGTTCTCCATTATGTTTGTATAGTTGCAATTACTATATGATGGTGTCTTTAATGTAACTTTAAATGATGTTCGTTTAATTTGAGTAGGTCTTTTAATTAAAGTAAACCAACATTTGCTGCTTCATTGCCTAACAGAATAAATTAGGAGAGTAATGCATGAATACAAAATATGACAAATCTTAAGATGACTCAAGATTCCTCTTCCTCTTCCATACATTTTTTCTCTAAGTAAAGTCCAAGGGAGGACTTTAATTGCTTCAATAGGACCACAGAGTGGGGCTCCTACTCCCTCTCCCCTTAGGCTACTGTAGATAAATATAGATTATAATGTATTCAACCTTGGGAGAAGAAACATACCAAATGAAATCTAGTCTGGACAGTTGAACAGTTCAGATTTTAAAAAAAAAAAAAAAACATATAACTGGGGGGGCTTATCATATCTGAGGGGCTGTCTGGCTTTTTGTTAACAAATTTGTATTACTGGATCCAAAACTCATTCAACAAGCCCTTATTGAAAGCCTACTGTGCTTTGGGAACACATTATAATATTAAAAAGCATAGATAGATCCTGTCCTCAGTTATTCCATTTGAGTTGAAAGAGATAAAGAACAAATAAGCAATTTGATATAAGTTTGTCATATGGTAATAAATATTGGTAAGATAAAAGGGAGTAGGGACTGCAGTATGGGGGTGACTTCTACATTATATAGAGTGGTCAAGAAATAGATTTTGTGGAAGTGATCTTTGAACATAAGGAACTAAATGAATTAAGAGATCAAGCAGAGAAAACAGAAAATGCAAAGACCCTGTAATGAAAACATGCTTGAGATGTTCCACCAACAACAGGAAGACCAGCACAAATGGAGAATAGTGAACAATACATAGGGGATACTCCAGAGAACAATTATTTTTTCTGTTTTGTTTGCTCCCATATTTTCTTTTAGCATACAGTAAGCACTTAATAAATATATGCTGAATGAATGTAAGAGGAGAGAGAAAGAAGAGGTAAGTCGTATAGGGCCTCATGAATCATCATAAAAACCCTGCATTTTCCTAATAGCGACCATTGAGGGCTCCAATCAGAGAAGTGTCACGATGGGTCTTAGAGTTTTGAAGGATTGACAATAGATTAGACTATAAGGAGAAGGACTGAAGCAGGAACATGGGGAAAAATTTCTTTCGATATTAAACAGCATCGGACATCAGATCCTGAATGATAATTATTAAAGTCTAAATTACAGTAACTTATAAAGCTGCATGGGTGTTAATTATTCAGTATGAGTCAGACTAATCTATACAGTAATGAAACTGGACAAGCTATGTATTCCAGCTAGAGCTTTATGGGAGTCGGGGTGCAGCCTGTAAGCAGAGCCTCCGTGTTGCCAATTTAGACTTTCTATCAATTGATACGTGATAATCAAGGTCTTGAAATGAACTCAGGTCCATCAACTTCTAACATAGACAACTCCACAGAATAACTAATACAAGCTGTTGACATCAACAGAGATTGGTAAAGGGGAGACTAACGAGGCAGTTTTCACAATGCCAATTTATAAGGGTGACAACAGCATCATTGGAATTATGTCCAATTTCAAGAGTGGTTTTTATCTAGACGCTTCTCAGACTAATCTCTAAAGATAGCCCTCCCATCAACCCTGCCTGCAGCATTCTTACTTCTCTTGTATTCATCCACCCTCTCCTTCAATCTAGGCCAGGCCTGTGACTCAATTCTTACCAATAGAATGGGGTAGAAATGATCCTGCAGGATTTCAGAGGTTAAGTCAAAAGAAGCCTTATAGCTTCTACCTTGTTCTCTTGAAATAGTCTCTTGGGATTTTATCAGGGCTGAATTAAAAAGTCCATCTACCCTGCTGCTGTAGAGACCCCCTGAGGAACAGGATGCTACATGGAGAAAGAATTCCCAGTTGAGCCGGAGCTGACAGGCTTTCTGAAGGGCACCTCTTGACCCTCTAGACCAGACTAGTTCAATACCAATGAAAGACCCTAACCAAGAATTGCCTCACCAAATTGTGGCTTAATTCCTGACCCACATAATCATGGAAAAATAAGATAATTATTCCCTTAAGCCACTTAGTTTCAAGGTAGTTTGTAATGTAGCAATAGTTAATAGGAGCAATAGGTGCATGTGGCTGGTAGGAATAATTAAATAAATGACTTAAGAGTACAGGTAAGACCCCTGGGAGGGATGATCAAAGGACCTCTGTGAATCACTAAATCAAATTCCAATGAAAAGGGCAGATGCAGTTATATATAAGTAGGGTACACATATTTGGATTCAGATTTTTTTTTTTTTTTTGTACCAGGGACTGAACTCAGAGGCACTTAACCACTGAGCCACATTTCCAGCCCAATTTAGTACTTTTATTTAGAGACAGGTATTTATAGACAAGGTCTCACTGGGTTGCTTAGCACCTCACTTCTACTGAGGCTGGTTTTGAACTCACTATCCTCCTGCCTCAGCCTCCCGAGTTGCTGGGATTACAGGGGTAACTCCAGCCACGGTGCCCGGTTTGGATCCATATTTTTTAACATTTTGTAGCAGAAGATAGGAGACATTGCCACCAATGGCCTTCCTCCACTTCTCCCATAGCACAAGGTGCTCACATACGTAAGAGCTTTAGCCACTCTTCAGGAAAACCATTCAAAAGAAAAACACTGTCCATCAGAATGCTGTTCTGAATTCACACGCCACCAGCAGATATCTTCATTGGAATGACTCCTCCATTTTGTATTTGAAATAGAATCTAAATGTTTGAAATTCTTGAAAGGAAAAAAAAAATCCCAATTTAAGTTTTAGTAAAAGCCTGGTTCTGCTTGGTTTAGAATGGAAGCTATTAAGCCATGGCTATGGATTGCCTGTTTCTAAAAGCTGTGCATATTTCTATTCTCAATATAAGACTAATAGCACTACCACAATGTGATTTAGCTACTATTACTTAAAGAGTTCCAAAGCAGGCATATTTTATGATTTTCGAAGTCCCTTCTAGGATAATCCTCACCAAAATAAGTTAAGTGTAGCCTTTTCCCTCAGTTATTTGATTTGGTGATTAGTAGGTAGTATCATTTGGTTTGGAAAACACAGTTCTAGAATACCTACAACCAAAAGAAAACTTCAGTCTACTGTTCAATTCATAATGACAATAATATCTAAGAGTAGCCAATTATTAAGAAGTGTTACATAGCACTATGCTATGTAAGGCTCAATAATGTTAGAAGAATGCTATAAAAAAGTATTCTTATAATTTAATTTTTTTGTATTAGAAAGATGAGGTTTACAAAGTTTTAAACGTTCACTAGAATTTCAGTAAATGCCTATGTCTGTGTTCTTAAAATGCAGGTATGTGGTTATAACAAGGCAAGATTCAGATGCAAGAGTTTATAAAGACAAGTTTTGACCCTGAAGAGGGTGAATTTCTTTTTTTCAATCTAGAACTTGGTTGGATCTTCAGAATATATATATAAAAAAATCGTATTTTGATGAATTGTTACCAGTACTGGAAAACAATGGAAATATTAATTTGACATTAGATTACCATAATATATTATATATAATTAATTACAAACAACAGTTGTTCATCAAAACAAAATGTTCTACACTTGGGAAAGCATTTAGCTAGACTATTATAGACAGCTGACCTCATTTCAACATCACATGTGATTCTGGCATGCATCTCTTCACTTATTTTGCCTCTAGGGTTTTCATGGTATTGATGACATGCCCATAAAAAGGAAAGAATAGTCATGGTTGAAAATATGGACCTTATTTAAACATGCATGAAAACTCCAATTTCAACACCCAATATTTGGTGGGTGTTGTGTTTGTGTATGTGGCCAAAGCACATAAATTTATTTCATGTGAAAACTGGTAAAGTTGGGCGTTTCCATTTTAAAGGGTGTTGAGCTAGCCTCTCTGCCTTCCAATGAAAATACTTTTGAAGTCCAGAGATTTAGAAAAGCTTAGAACAATGCTGAAAATTAATACAATTTATCTAAGGCCAGCATTTGGAAAGAGCTTCTAACTATAAGGCTGATGAAACTACATGGAGAAAAACCAGATGGTGATCCACTGGTGCTTTGTGCCCTGTGGCATAGCTTCCCTCCTGTTCAAAAGAATGGGAAAATAGAGGTGGACACTCTATCCTTTGTCCATTCTCCCTACAGGACCTGGGACAATAAGAAAAATGGATGACATACTCTGCACAATTCTGCATTTCTGGATTTTCAAAGGGATGTTCCTGAAGCACTTTTATAATCATATTGCAACAATAAATGCCAAGATATAGTAAGATGGGGATCAGAGCTATTACAAGTAGTAGAGAGTTGTGCTGAGCTTGATGAGGTTCCTGTCTTATTCTATTTTCTGTTGCTATAACAAGATGACTGAGGTTAGATACCTCAGAAAAGAAAGAGGTTTGCTTTGCTCACAGATTTAGAGGTCTAAGAACATGTTTCTAATGAGGGCCTCATGGAAGATAACATTACATGATGGAAGAAGAAGCATGAGAGTGAGTAAAGAAAGCTGAACTTGCTTCAGAATGACCCATTCTAGTAGGAACTAGTTCAGTCTCACAAGACATAACTCTTAAGAGCAAGCATGAATCCATTTGTGAGGGGACTGTTCTTACTTTCTACTCGGCCCACCATTGAAAGCTTCCACCACCTCAACTCCCTACTTGGCCCCACACATCCAGCACATGAACCTTTGTGGGATACACATATCCAAATTATAGCATGGCTTTTGCCTCTAGTCCCTAGAAACAACCAACTGTAACAGTAAAGGCCTGGAGCATCTTATATGGAGGTTGCCCTTTGCCATGTGTCTATCATTTCATCCCTACAGAAAACCTGAAAGGGATGGTAGGAACAGGCTTCATCCAGTTCTCTAAATAAAGCACCATTGTGTTGAGAATCCTGAAAATTTAATGAATAACATTAAAGAGTACCAGAGTAAATAAGGAGAATGGGTAGCTAAATTATGGAACCAACCCACATACTGTTCAGTAGATGAATGGATAGGGAAACTTTGGTATATATAGACAATGGAACATTACTCAGCATTAAAAGAGAATAAAACCATGGATTTTGCAGGTAAATGGATGAGTTGGAGAATACAATAATGCTAAGTAAAGCAAGCCAATCCCAAAACAAAAACAAAGGCCAAATGTTTTCTTTGATATGAGGACACAGACACATAATGGCCATGTGGACGAGCATGGGAGGAATGGAGGAACTTTAGATAGGGCAAAGGAGAGGGAGGAGGAGGGAGGGGATAAGGGGGTAGGAATGATGGTGGAATGAGTTAGACATCATTACCCTAAGAACATGTACAAGACATGAATGGTGTGAAAATATTCTGTGTACAATCAGTTTCTTGAAAAATTTTGTTCTATATGTATAATATGAAATGAATTGCATTCTGCCATCATGTGTAACAAATCAGAATAAATAAATTTAAAAAAAAAATTTATATATATATCACACACATATAAGTAATGAGAATGGACATGTTTGTGAATAAAAGACCTCAAAGTATCAAGATGTTTGTTCTATACATTTAAAAAAAAAAAGAACAAGGTTTTCTATATTTTGACAAATTTTCTAATACTTGTAAGTTAGAGTAAAGAACTAATATATTTCCAAAGAACATTTGGTAGAATTTTTTCTACCTGATAGTAAAAGTGATTATAAAATGAGCAAGAAAGACTTGGATATTTTGGTGCAGAGATAGATAAATGGGCCGGGGTTGGGATCCCAGAACCAGTACCCACATGTATATGGAAACTTGTTATATAATAGCTGACATTTCAGGTCAGTGGGGGGAAATTGTGATGGTTGACTCCATAAAGAAAGTAAGTAAATAAAATTGGATCCCTATTTCATACCATTTACATCTAAAAGCAAATTTTCAAAAATTTTTAAATAAATACAAGTGAGTCCCTTTTTGACAACAAGATTAATAACCCAGAAAATGAATCAAACATAAACCTGAGTATGTTAATATCACACAAAACAGAACTCAAGGCATAAAAGATACAGAGCCACACTATACACTGGAAAAATGAAAAGCATACCGAAAGATAGGAAAGTCATGAACATATGTACCCCTTAGACAATAGACTTAAAGGTTACAAATCAACAACTGAGAGAAATAAAATGAAAAATGAATATACTGATAATTAGAATTGAAGATTTAAACACATCCCTCTCAGAGTCAAATAAAGTAAGAATAGCAAAAATAGAAAACACTAAACATAGCATAACTAATACTAAAAATATCAAAACTAACATATAGATCTACATGGAATTTGATACCAAACAAGTATTTATTTCTTGGAATGGAGAACATTCACAAAGAATTATTTAGAGTTCCACCATGCAAAGCTAAATCAATTTCAAAAGTAGATACTTTATACTCTAGTATCAATACTAAATATTGATATCTAGCATAATCTGTCCATTAGGAAATAAATTATAAATCAATAACAAAATAATAAACCTAGAAGCTTCACATATAGGAAATAAATGACTTAATAGTAAATAACCCATCCACAAAGGGGAAAAATCATAAGAAAGATCTAAAAACGCTAAGGGGTGAAAAATAGGAAAAAAAAGTTTAGGCCACAGGTAAAATGATATGCAGTAGGAAACTTAATAAAAATAATGAAAAAAAAAATGAACAATGAAAGAGAATGCAAAAGAGCAATAGAACAAATTCAAATAAACTAGAATGGGGACAAAAATAAAGATAAATGAAGTAATTAAAGAACTAGAACACACAGAAACAATAGAAAGATTAACAAAACCAAAAGCTAGAGCTTTGAACACCTTAATAAGATGGAACATAGACAAAAGATAATTAAATACCCTTTTGCATTTGTGAACATGGATTGAATCCAAAGTTACTTAAAGAGATGACAGATCAAAAACCTCCCAGCTAATATAATTAAAAGAGTTATAAAGGAAAAACATCATAAGTAAGCTGGATTTTTCCTAGTAAATGCAGGAAAGTTTTGACATTGGGAAATCTATCTATACAACATACCATACTAAGGAATTAAATGAGGAAACATATTGTAATTATTTCAATAGGTCCTGAAAAAGCAATGGTGAAGTTTCAACATTAACTTTTTATTAAAAGCTCTCAGAAAACTAAAAATGGAGACACTTCCTAAATTTGTGAACATTCACGTATCTACAAAACGGTAACAAACATTACAGCAAAGTGGAAAAATCTCCAAAATACACTTTAATTAAAATTATGATTTAAAAAAAAATGTGTGCTATCATCACTACCATTGAACATGGGACCTGAGGGTCTTTTCCAACGGTGTATGCAAAGAAAAAGAAATATTTAAAACACAAAAGATTAATATTTAAATTACTAAAGCATCTAAATTAAACAGTACAGCCAGATTGGCAGATATAAAGTCTGTACTATCAATAACCAAACAGACAACAAGTATAGATTCTCGATAATATAATAAAAATTACAATACCATTCGAAGTAACAATTAAAAATATAAAGCATTTCTCAAGATCAAGCACAAAAACATAAGCCATGTTTAGTTTTTTTGTTTGTTTGTTTGTTTTTTTAAATAGGGAAATGAAAGCTATGGATGAGTTTCAAAGGTGAAGACCAACTATGAATAAAGGTAGGACAGAGAACCAAGCCAGAGATTAACAACAGAAAGAACATGCTCCCTCTTCCATTCCTAAGTTGAAAAGGATACCATGCTGGAGCCCAGGGACCAGGTCACCAGGCATTAGCTGAAATTGGGATGGACCTGTCCAGTAGGCATTGGAGCTGGGAAGGAGACAGGGAGAGGAAAACTCTAAGGCTTCTCCCTTCCCCCTTCCCTCCCATCTCCCACCAGTGAATCTAAATGACCCAACCAGTTGGGAAGCCAGAGAACTCAGGTACTTATAGCAGTCAGCCCCTGTGATCCAGGGCAGGACAGAGGAAGGGGAAAGAGCAGAAAGGGGGTTGGACCACTTACTCCCCCCACTAGCTTGCTGGTAGACAGTGCTTTTGACCTTGGTTGTCTTTCTACCTAGGATTGTGGCTTCTATTGGGCAAAACTTCTTCCCTAGCTCTTGCCTTCATTTTCCACTAATAGCTTTCTCTGATGGGTCCTTTGACCCAGCTGTTGTCTGGTTGCTTTTGGGCTGCTCATGTGTCTATAAACAGTTCCTTCATTAAACTCAATTAAATCCAGCAAGATCCTACCAGGATTCTTATAAGACTCCAGATAAGAGATGTTAACCAATACATACAACAAGGATAAACCAGAAAATTCTTTGAGCCATGCTTATAAATTAAATTACCTCCACAGTCATCTTCTATTGTCAGGGAAAATAAATAGCAGACCCTAGATTAACCAAGGAGAGGATTCTTTCCTAAAATTTGAAATTTAGGTTAACTAAACGTGGACCTCTTGTTTTTTCCAAACTTCTTCCTTCAGTTAGGAAAATACTTCAGCACCATTTTGACACTTGTGTTTTCTTAAGCAGCACTGAAAGAGTGAAGATCTCAGCAAGCAGCCAAAAATAAATAAATAAAATTGAAAAAGCCCTTTGTGGAACATAGTGTACCAAGTGCTTCCAATCACTGGTTTCCAATTACTGTCAAACCAAAACTCTGTTGAGTTCCTTTAGCTATTTTTTCCTCTTCTTGATTTTGAATATTTAAAAATAAATTACTCAGAGAGAACTGAAATTGTCAACCATATGTTCTGGGAGGCCCTGGAACGAAGCTAATGCCTAAAAACCAGAGGGCAGAGTTTTCTAGTATCCAGAAGAAAATAATGTGAAATAATGCCTCTCACAAAATGGAATTATAGGCAGGACTGAAATATGAGAGGCCTGTGCATGTGTTTCTGGGAGTCGGGGGTTGGCTCTGAAGGAAAGGGGAGAAGGGACCCTAATTAGGAGTCCCATGGCCCACAAAGAGATTAAAGTACTGAGGTAATTATGAAGCACCTATTTTATGCATGTGGGTTACTTCTGCCTCCTCTGAGCTGACAGACAAGAATTTCCAGGACATTCTCTCATGTGAACCAAGTCTCAGGATAAACAGAAGTCTTCAGAGACCTCTCCAGTTTTTACATGCAAGCCCTAAAGTAGAGGCAGAAAACATGCAGAACTCCCAGATAGGAAGCCTTGGATGACAGGAAAGCTGCACTCCTTAGGCATTTTATGGGGTATCCCCTGCACCCCCTGGTCACTTCAACTGAAGAGTTAACCTGATCTATGCAGTCACTCTTGCTTTCTAGTGTACCTCTTAGAACTAGGAATGTTGAATTCAGAATTAAATTTCAAGCTGCATGATAGGAACATCGAGAATAACTTTTTTTCTTTTAAAATTTTTTTTAACAAGAAAAGCCACAGTGTTGTGAGCAGAGGCTGGTGAATTTCATGAGCTTTCCCCACTGTCATGAAGTTTCAGCTTCCAGTAGATAGCTTTTCAGGAGATGGAAACCTATCAACTTGATGTTTGTGAGTCTTTCAGATTTTCCTGCATAGTCTCAACTCACAGTCCTTGAAAGAAAAAGATGCTCTTGAGAAGAGGAGAAGTAGGAAGTAAAAAGAAATATTAAGGAAAAAAGTCAAGTGAATATGCTCACTTAATGGTGCCCCTTCATCAAAATTCTATGCTACAGTTTTCTAAACTTCCTGACAATATGCTCAATGGCTTGGCTGTAAATTCAGACAAAATCAGTTAATTTTAAAAAAGGGAAATCAGCTTAGAGGGGAATTTGGCCAAATCTTATAATTTAGAAAGCACAAATGGATTTGCTTACATAGAAGTCCAGGCCCTTACTTTTGGAGATTCTCTTATTGATCAGAGGTTGGATGGATCTGAACACTGTGTGTGAGAGGTTGTTTTAATTTTTGGTTTTTAAAGCTTTATTTTTTTATGTTCTCTGTATGGTTCTAAGGTTCAACCAGGGATGAACTTCAGTGAGTGAAAGGTGAACTAGCTAATTGATGGTAAAGACGCATGAAAAAGCCCTCTTCTATCCACTTGAGTATATTTTCTATTCTGCTGTTCCACTCAATATTAATATTTAACAGAATATAAAAATTAAGACTTTTTGGAAATTTAAAAGACCATAGGACCTAAAAGAAGCAGAAATGGGTATTTTAATTCTCCTGACAAGGATTTATAAACAGAATAAACACATTGAAAATTATGATCGAGAAAGTCCTGTCCATGGCTGCAGGGCCTCTGTCTGTCTTGTTGAACACTATCTCCAGCATCAAGCCCATTGTTTTTTACATGGTAGATGAATTAACAGAACAAATCCCACCTACCCTAAGGGGATTTGTCTGTGTAGAAAGGAGATGGCTTTTGCTTTCAGGGTGAAATAAACTCTCTGGTTCCTGTCCAGTGGAATTGCAACTTAATACCAACTAGCTCCTGGTAACTGCAGTGTGGGCCCTGGTTAACAACTGACATAGTCCCCATATCCACACCCACAGTCCTGCCTGGCCACCTACTCTGTGATGACAGGCAGATTGTCTGTTACACTGCAGGAGGATGAACTGTACAGAGATGGCAGTTAGACCCAGCTTCAGGCTAGAGCTTGTAAAATGACCCTTTGTCAGTTATCTCAGTAATTAACTTTAAAGCTCTTATTTGTTCCAATTTGTTCATTTGTTCATAAATAAGTCAAAGAATCTCTTATTTCATCTATTAAGAGAGAGTCATTAATCATGCATTTTATGTTTTATGCTTGAATTGTTAAAAAATATTTTGAAGACTCAAGAAAACTGAACTTTCTGATAATGTTTAAAGTCAGTGACCAAATAACTCATTAAAGTTTGATGGGACAGAGAAACATAAATTTATCTTAAATAAATAAATAAAATTCACTTCTTCTTGTGTTCATTTAACAAATATTTATGAGGAACTGCTCTTTGCTCTGCATTGTCCTCCCAGACACTAGAAAGACAAAGAAAAAAAAAAAAAAAAAAAAAACACCAGTGCAGTTCCTATTCATTTGGGACTTACATTCTAGAGGAAAAACAACAGGCAGTAAGCAAAATGAACAAATTAGCACATTAGAAGTTTCCATATGTAAACTCGACTATGAAAACAATCAAGCCAAGAAAATGGAACACAGAGTTTTGGGAATAAGTACTACTTGAGGTGGTCAGCTTTGCAGAGACTTGAATATATTTAAGATTTTCTATTGACAGTGCCATTATTATTAATTTTTGAGTCCCAAACAGAATAAATGATAAAGCATAGGTTTGTTTGAGATTTTTTGGAATTTTCACCTTAATGTCACTGGACTTTATTAGTGTTATCAATAGGGGCCTGGACAGGAATTTCACCTCTGGGTTCAGGAACACATCATATTATATCAATCTAATGGTTATCCCAAAAAGGCAGACTGGGCCCAAGGATTGCACATAAATAATGACTCCATTCAAAGGCACACCCCTTTGATTTTATTTAAAGAGTAGCCTCTTATTAATACCTGAATGGCCAATTTTTCAAAAATGAGCTCCAATTAGTGGAACTCTTACTCCAAAGTCAATGGCACTGGTGAGAAGTCAAGAGAATCTCAAGTGTATAGTCCAATGATGGTTCAATGCCTTTTTTCCCAGAATTCTGCCACCCATCCTTTCCTTCTCTATTCTTATCTGAAATTCCACAATAAACACACACAAGACTGGTGGTTCATCTACAATTCAGACACATACTCTTACACAAATACATTGCCATTCATATTCATGATGTTTAACTTGGCTGCCTATTTAATTACTGAAAATGGCCATATCAAAATTTGCACGTGTGCATGGAAATAAAAGCTGACCACTTACATTTTAAAATTTTATTCAATATCATTTTTTATTTCTAGGTTTTTATATACCATGTTGCAAGTCTACTTTAAGGTTAAATACAATTTTGACCCAATATTGCTCTTTTGGAAAATGAATGATATTAGATTTGAAGCCTAAAAGATATAAATTATGTATCTTATGAATCTTAAGAGAGATTTTTAACTTTTTGTCAAAAGGCAAGTTCTGATTAAAAATTGAGGAAAGGTAGAACTTGGATGGAAAATTATTTGAGACCTCAAAATGCCTACATAACTCATAACCTTGAGGTAGATGCTATGATTATCCTACTAACTTCATTAAGTTCCATGGAAGCAAGGACTTGGCCTATTCACTCTGTACTCCACACCTAGTATAGTGCCTAGCACACAGACGTTGATCAAGCAAAGTGATTAAAGGACCCAAAGAAATTTTCAGACACAATTAAAAGTTTAAAAAACCCAGAAAAGTATCCCAGGCTGTGCATTGGCAAAGCTTGGCTGAACCACGACCTCAGTACCAACATGCAGAGTAGACTCAACTCTAAGACACCCTTAACACCAAAATGCAACAAGTAACCTCAGCTTAGCAACCATCAAGTGTGCAGGAGACAGTGGCTGGATCAACCGACACCAGTGACCAGACAACTGTCAGGTCTATGGTGAGCTGGGATTCTTTTTCACAGTTTTAACTAATTTGTGCTTGATCATAAATTTTAATTCAATTCCAAAATCCCTAAAACAATTCTTCACAGAACTAGAAAAAGCAACCATGAACTTCGTGTGGAAAAATAAGAGATGCAGAATAGCCAAAGCAATACTAAGCAAGAAGAGAGAAGACATATCATAATACTATAGCTTAAACTGTACTACAGAGACATCGTAACAAAAACAGCATTGTATTGTCATCAAAATAACACAGAGACCAATGAATGGTACAGAATAGAAGACAGAGAAAACTCACAAAAACACAGTTATCTCAAACTAGACCAAGGCGCCAAAAACATACATTTAAGAAAAAAAAAAAAAAAAGCCTGTTCAACAAATGGTAAATGGTGCAGGAAAAATTGGAAAGCCACATAAAATAAAAAGTAAAGCCCTCTCTCTCACTCTGCACAAAACTCAATTGAATATAGATCAAAACTTAGGCACTAGAACAGAGATCCTGAGCCAAATAGAAGAAAAAGTAGGCCTAAATCTTCACTATGTCATCCTAAGATCTGACTTCCTTAAGGTGACTCCTACATTCCAAGAATTTCAAGAATCAATAAACAGGATAGATTCAAATTAAAAAGCTTCTTCTCAGCAAAGGAAACAATCAATAATGTGAAAACAGAGCCTACAGAATAGGAGAAAATCTTCACCACATGCACCTCAGAGCATTATTCTCCAGGATATATGCAGATCTCAAAAAACATGACACCAAAAAAAACAAATAACCAAATCAATAAATGGGCTAAGGAACTAACAGACACTTCACAGAAGAAGCAACAAATACATGAAAAATGTTCAATATTTAGCCATTAGTAGAAAGCAAATCAAAACTTCTCCAAGATTTTATCCCACCCCAGTCGACAAACATGGTTATCAAGAATACAATCATCAAGTAACAATAAATGTTAGGGAGGATGTGGGGAAAAGGGTGCACGCACACATTGCTTGTGTGACTGCAAATTGAGGCAACCATTATGGAAAGCAGTATGGAAATTCCTCAGAAAACGTGGACTGGAACCAACATCTGACACAGCTCTCCCTTTCCTCATTTTATAACCAAACGACTTAAAACCAGCATATTACAATGACACAGTCACATTATGTTTACAGCAGCTCAATTCATAATAGATAAACTGTGGAACTAACCTAGGTGTCTTTCAACAGATAAATGAATAAAGAAAATGTGGTGTGTATGAGTATAGATATACATATGTGTGTATGTGTGTGTGTGTGTATATATACATATATATAATATATATAATATATATATATTATATGTAATATATACATATATATATATATACACACACACACACACACACAATGCAAACACACATACACACACATAAACAATTTTACACACATATATAGGATGGAATAAACTCAGCCTTAAAGAAGAATTAAATTATGACATTTGCTGGTAAATGGATGGAGCTTATCATGCTAAGTGATAAGCCAATCCCAGAAAATTTTCCCTGATATGCTTATGATAATCACAGTAAGGGGGGGGGGGGGGGTAGGGAAGAATAGAGTTGTTTTAGACTGCACAGAGAAGTGAAGAGAGGGAAAGGGGTACACTGGGTAGAGTGGATAGTAGAATGAATCAGACATTTATTCCAAAGTACATATGCAAATACGTGACTAGTGTGATGCTACATCCTGTACAACCAGAAGCATGAGAAATCATACTACATTTATGTACGCTATGTCAAAGTGCATCCTATTGTCCTGTAGAATTAGAACATTTTTTTTAAAAAGAAGATTAAAGAAAACATACCAATTTGCAGAAAAAAATATGACTACAATATCTGCCACCTGGAGACACTCATGGTAACTGAAGCTAAACCAGTCTTCAAAAAACAAAGGACAAATGTTTTCTCTGATATGTGGGAGCTAACCCACAATAGGAGGGGTGATGGGGACAGAAGTGCAGTAGATTAGACAATGGGGAATGGAGGGAAAGGAGGGGCATAAGCAAAGGAAAGACAGTGGAAAGACTCTAATGCAGCTTTCCCATGTGTATACGTGGAAACAACACTGTGAATCCCACCACCATGTACATCCTAAGAATATAATTCTAAATATATAAGGTATCTTACTTATACAAATATTGATTATATAATATTGAATTTTATGGGCCAGGATTGTGGCTCAGTGGTAGGGCACTTGCCTAGGCATGTGTGAGGCACTGGGTTTAATTCTCAGTACTGAATTAAAAAATAAAATAAAATAAATGGACCATTAACAACTTAAATAATTTTTTAAAAATGGATTCTATAATAAAAACAACCAATAAATGAAAATTAACAAAATGAAACATTTCCTAGGTTCCCTTAAACATTTTGATAGCACTGAAATCAACTTCAAATGAATGGAAAGAAAAAAGGCTTTTAAGAGTAAGTTAGTCTCCACCATTATTCTGTGAAATGATGACATAACTATTGGGACAGACTTTTCCCGCTTATGACCTCCAGAACTGTGGGAAATATTTTTCTATTATTTATGAGTCTCATAATTTTCACTAGTAGAAATTAAAATTAACAAATTTCAATATTTAGACGCTAATTACCTAACGTATAACAATACCTCGAAACCAGAGTTTGAAGATGAGACTCCATGGCTCTAGCTGGCAGGTAGGGGGTCTGCGTGCGGGGTGGGGAGGCCTCCGCAGCAGAGAGGAGTCCTACCTACCTCCTTATGGCGGGCCATTCCATCCAGCGCTGCAGCAGACCCCAGCAGATCCTCAACCATGTCTTCTTTCTTTCAGCAGTCTCTTGGAAGTCGAAGAATCACCTCTGGGAACCAAACCAGGGTGAAACTTCCATGGAACTCCGGCGAAAGTCCGGCGAAGGTCCGGCGAAGGTCCCGCGAAGGTCCCGCGAAGGTCCGGCGAAGGTCCCGCGAAGGTCCGGCGAAGGTCCGGCGAAGGTCCGGCGAAGGTCCGGCGAAAAAGTCCGGCGAAAGTCCGGCGAAAGTCCGGCGAAAGTCCGGCGAAATCCAGGACACCAACCTCGATGGCCTCCGCTGCTTCTCTACGTCTGAACAACCTGCAAGGGGTTTATATAGCGCTTGGTCCAATGCTATTGGTCCAAACTTATGCTAATTAGGACTTGAAAAAAGGACCAATGCTATTGGCCCAAAGTTATGCTAATTGGGTTGGACACATACTAACGCCATTGGTCAGTCTCTTTTTAATATTCATAGTAGATTCATTCATAGAAGCAGCCCCAAATTCCCACGCTGACAATGAATGAATGGGCTGGGAAGCAGCTCAATGGCAAAACCGCAAAGTGCTTGCCTCGCATTCCCAACTGGAACTGTGTGCCTGGGTGTTTCTGAGTATAATCAGGCAAGAGCCTGTAGGGACTTGCTGGTGATAACAAGGAGGATCATCAAGAAATAGTCATGGTAAGAAATGTTTTTGTTCTCTCTTCTGTTTTATGCTGCCATTCACTCATTCGTTCATTTATTTGTTCCATGGACTGATTGAGTTTATTTTATGTGCCAGGTGCCACAGTCATAGCATTTGTGCTTGTGCTTGATAGATAACAGGTTACCATTGGCCCACAAATGGACATATGTGTTCTAAAAGATTTCTGCTCTAGAGCATGTGATTGCACAGTTAGAAATTTCATTGCTTTGAGACTTTCCTTCCTCATGCCAAATACTCTTGAGTAAATGATGAAATATTGAGAAAGTGGTTTGATTTTTTTTTCCACCTTCCTCAGTGCCATTGTTAGTACAAGAAATATTGTTTCTTTCATTCTAATATTCATAATGGTTTTAGAGAATTGAAATCTTCTGCTTTCCTTGATTTCTGTTGTTATTAAGTGCAGAGCTCTATCTACTTAGGTGTGGTCTCTCCTATACATTAGATTCCATAGTGTTTAGATTATCTATAGATCATAAAATAAAAATCTGAGTAAATGGAGAATAATTTTTACACAATACTTACTTTTCTACTTTATGTGCTTAAACTATTCTTATTTCTTTACATATTTGAAATTTCATATGTTTCCCATAAAATAACTGAATTGAGTTTATTATTCACAAATATGATTTTACATACTGTCTGTGATTGCAGTGTTGAGATGCATTGTAGTATAGTTAGTGACTTGAATACAAGTATTTTTCCACTGGTTCAAAAATTTAGCAGTTAGAAAAACAGTACATTCCATTTGTGCATGCCTGAGCGTTTCAATAAAGTAATTTTGTCATAGACAAACTGGCTGGGGTTATGTAGGAGAAAATGTTAAACTTTCCCTTAGCTTTTGCCGCAGTCTGGCTGGGCACAAATCACGAGCCACTGAAGCAGGAACAAACTTTATTTTTAAACTGCAGGAAAACACTTCACACAGCTCCCGGGGAATCCTCCCGAACGCGCCAGGAGGCTTGTCCAGGAACCCCCAGCCGGAAAATATCTCTCCCGGAAATCCCTCCTCCTGCACTTCCCCAACCAATGGGAACTCTCGGGGAATCCCCGGAAATCCCCATGAGAACTCCAAAATAGTGCGAGAACTCAAAAGTTGCGGCAGAGGCGGATAGTAATGCCTCGCCTGTCAATCAATACTGTTGGCAAAATGCCAGGGGCCATACAGACTCGGCCGTGGCTCTCAGCATCTCCCCCTTTTTGTTTAATTAAACAACAAGCAATGTGGCTTAGGGACCGTGCCTGTTAGGCAGTCCAATTCAACATATGGTCCTTACCCGTCATCGGATGAACTGACCTCTAGGCGTCAGCCTCCTGTCTTAGGTTGGTACCACTGCAATTGGATCATACCCGTCACTGACTACCGGTCCAGCATACAGCCATACTTGTGGATAGGCCTTTGCACCAGTGGGGGGTGAGGTTCTTTGCCTCACCTCTGTTGGCCCCCAAATTTTAGACCAGCACTAGTAGAAGGGAGGAGGATGCAAAATGCCATGACACTAAGCCAATTGAGGGCTCCTTTGAAAAATTGTACCACCGGTGACACCATCAGCAAAAATACTCCAGCACTACCACAATTCGCTGTACCAACAGATAGTTCACAATACATACAAATGATACATAGTCCAGGCAAGGTCTGCAAGCAATTCAAAGCAGAGGAATCTGTCAATATGTCCATTTCCTCCCAAAGTAAATCAACTCCTTAACTGAGCATTACTTGTTGAGTTATTATTCATTGATGCATCAGTTTTTACAGTTTGTTGTGATAACTATCGAAGAAGCTGTAGTTTGGTTTTATCTTTGTCTTCACCGGCACTGGGATGAAGATAGGAATTCTGGCAATGATGCTAAGAAAAAAATTATGTAACATTCCAACAGGCACTAAGAAAACAATTTTTTGAACAATTTACATTATCCTGAACAGAATTATTAAATATAATGAGAAGGAAAGGTGAAAGTAAACAAACAGATCTGTTAACCTCCTTATTTGTTCACATATTAAAACAATTTTCAACAGCTGTTTACCCAATCTAAATTAAACCATTAAAATCACATGAATAAAAAAAATTTGGATCCATTTATTCATGAGCGCTCCTCATATATGATATATGGACATACACACATACAGACATACAACACAAAACAGAAGTGTGCACACATAACATACAACACATAAGACAATAGTAAAGGCCTTGTAGCTTTACCTAGGTGAAATCTCCATTGCAATGCTTAAAAACTCCACAGTCAAAAAATAAAACTGATCAGAAAAACATTATCCTAGGTCTGTATGAGCTCAAAAATAAAATAGAACTTTATGATGTGGGAAAAGGCAAATAATAAAATAAATATTGAAAAAAACATCCTGGTTAATCACCGTCGCAGATGTAAGAATAGCCAAACTGGAGTTCTGGATATCAGCTGTTATGGATTTGAGTCAAATCATCTTCCTTTTGGCCTGTAGAAATTGTTTTAGTTAATCTCTCTGGAATCCAAATCGGCTGCTGTTCTCCCTGTGGAAAAACACAAACAGAACCCCGACTCCAGACAATCACTGGGTCAGGACCTTTCCATTGTCCTGTTAGAATATCCTTCCAAAGTACCTTAGGCTTATGTACATTTTTTGGACACATATGCCTTTCCGCAGCACTAAGCCCTGAGGAATCCAAATTTAAAAAGTTTAGAGTAAAAAGGGTTATTTTAAGTTTATCTTTGGGTGACATATACCCCTTTCCAATTCCCTCTTTTTGCTTTAGTAAGTACATTTTAATAGTTTGATGAGCTCTTTCAACTATGCCTTGTCCCTGTGGATTGTATGGAATTCCTGTTATATGAGTAATGCCAAATGATGAGCAAAATTGTTTAAAAGAGGTAGAAATATAACCAGGACCATTATCTGTTTTTAACTGTTTTGGAACGCCCACAGTGGCAAAATTTTGTAAGCAATGAGCTATAACATCTTTAGTTTTTTCTCCGGAATGAAGGGAGCCCATCAAAAATCCGGAAGAAGTATCAACTGTAACATGCAAATATTTTAATTTTCCAAATTGTGGCAAGTGTGTGACGTCCATCTGCCAAATATGGTTAGGTATCAGTCCTCTAGGATTGACTCCAAGATTAACTTGTGGTAAAAAGGTCACACAATTTTGACATTGTTTTATTATTTGTCTAGCTTGTTCCTTAGTTATTTTAAAACGCTTTTGTAAAGTATTAGCATTGACATGGAACCTTTTATGAAAATGTGTAGCTTCTTCTAGTGTAGAGAAAATATGTATGTCATGTGTAGTTTTATCTGCTAAATCGTTGCCCAAACTAAGGGCTCCAGGCAATCCTGTATGTGCTCTGATATGTCCTATAAAGAATGGATCTTTTCTGTCCCAGATTACACTTTGTATAGCAGAAAACAAAGAGAAAACAGTAGAGGAAGGGGAAATCCTGCCAGCATCTTCAAGGGATACTATAGCATTAACTACATACTGACTATCAGAGAATAAATTAAATACAGAATCTTTAAACATCACAAAAGCTTGTAAAACTGCATTAAGCTCTACCTTTTGAGCTGATTGTTTGGGTACTAAAAATGTAAAAGTTTGATCAGGGGTAACTACTGCTGCTGTACCATTATTTGACCCATCAGTGAATACATTTGGAGCATTCATGATAGGGGTTTTTCTTGTCATTTTTGGAAAAACTACAGGATGCGAAGACCAAAAAGACAACAAAGGATTAGATGGTAAGTGATTATCAAATGAAACATTAGATTTACACATGATTATTGCCCAAGTATTTAACTCATTAGCTAACTCATCAATTTGATCCATAGTATATGGAGTAATAATTTTATTGGGAGAAATTCCAAACACTCCCTTTGCTGCTTTTATTCCTTTGAGTATTAATTGTCCTACAGCCTCAGGATACCTAGTAAGAATAGTGTTAGGAGAATAAGATAAATGTATCCACAATAATGGACCTTCTTGCCAAAATACTCCTGTAGGAATATTTTTTGTTGGTATTACAATAAATAATAAAGGCAAAGTTATATCAATTCTATCCAAATGCATATTTTCCATATATGTTTCAATAATTTTTAATGCCTTTCTTGCTTCAGGCGTTAACATGCGGGGTGAATTTGGATCTGATGGACCTTTTAGGATATCAAATAAAGGTCCCAACTCTCCTGTTGGTATGCCTAGATAAGGCCTTATCCAATTTATGTCTCCTAATAACTTTTGAAAGTCGTTAAGTGATTTGAGTTGATCTACTCGTATTTGAATTTTTGGTGGACGGACCATGGTTGAGGATAATAGAACTCCTAAATAATTAATTGGAAAATTTAATTGTACTTTATCTATTGCTATCTCTAGATTATAAT